CAGCTGCAGAAGGGCCACATGCTCGCATGCCAGCTGCCTCTCCCGTTGCATCATGTGTGAGCTCCGGTTGCCATGGAAGCCTGAGGTTGGGAGCTTGTGTTTGCCTTTGCGGAGACCTTTTTGCATCGCTAAGCATCCTGAGCTTCGGTTAATCTTCGTGTCAGGTGAAGCTCTTCTTCTGTTCCAGCTGCTTGGCACCTGACACTTTACCTAACCCAGAGTCGCCAGGCGGCACAATGCCAGGGGTTTCTATCCTCAGGGCGGCCAGGGGAGCGAGCCCCCCGGAGGCCTGCAGCCCACTTTCCTCCCTGCCCCACAGGCTGCCCGAGCAAACCCCACCCTCCCCCTCGGACTTGCCTGAACTGCTTGACAGTTGGGACTCACCCGGTTAGGCCTTTACCGTCTCTTAGGGTCCTGATGTGCACCGGTCAACCACTGCTTGGGTGTCTCTGAACCCCGAGATGCTGCGTGAGGTGCTCTGCAGTTGAAGGGGTATCGGGATGAACTACCTCGAGCTTCAAGGGGTCTCTGTCTGGGCTTCTTGGGGAAAGACTAACAGCGTTTAACGCTGGTCCTTTGGTTCACTTTCCCGAGAATAGTTCAGCTTTGAATGGGGGTGAAAAGGGTGAGGGAATTAAGCAAAAAAAAAACCCCAAAAACAAACCCTCCTAGACAACAGTGCGTTGATTACCAGAGAAGGGGGGGGAATGGAGATGGAAGGAGACTTGACTTGGGGTGAACACACACAACATACAGATGGTGTACCCCTGAAACCTATATAATTGTATTAACCAGTGTCCCCCCCAATCAATTCAATAAAAAGAAATCTTTGAATATCCCCCCTCCCAAAGTTCTACTCCATACACCAGCGGCCCGATTACTTTTATTTTCTCAGAAGCAAAAATTGAAGCCCTCTGCTCTGTCTTTACCACCCCCTTCCCCTCCCATCTCCTTCACCACCCTTAATCCCATCACCCGGCAATTTAATCTCTTCGGTCACTTTGAATTTGCCCAGGTGGGCAGGAGGGACGTACAAGGAGTCAAAGGTGTGCTGGGAAGACAGCCACGGCTTTGGTTTGCTCTGGGCAGGACCTTAACCCCTCTGTATGGGCATTTATTATTAAAGTGATAAACCATTATATTCACTCTTACAACTGGTCTGATAAGATTTCCACAAATAAAACATTTTCAAGCAAAAAAATATCCCTCTCCCTCATAGAAAATAGTTATTTTCTTTATTTTATTTCTTCCCATCATCATTTATCCCTCTATACCCTCTCCCAACTACACCCACCTCTCCCCCCCAATCACCATGTGTGTTCGTGTCCATAAATTCTCTTTTTTTCTTTTTAGCTCGATCCCTCCACCACCTCCAATCCACCCCCCCTCCCAGAGCTGTGAGCCTGCTCTCTCCGAGCCTGTCTCTGTTTTGCTTTGCCAGTTCAGTTTGGTCATTAAATCTCACATATGAGTGAAATCACATGCTATTTGTCTTCCTCTGGCTGGCATACTCCACGTGGCATAATGCTCAATTAAGTAAAGTTATTTTTGATGATACCTTGAAGACACCCAATCGAGAGCCCACTTGAAATTTGTCAGCATGAGCTTGAGAGCCTTGGCCCACCGCTCCTCGGGGTTCAGGTGGGTCCGGATGGAGTAGAGGCCGCCCCCCACCCCCGGGTCTTCCATCAGGCCCCTGTCCGCGTGGATCCTGTAGGGCATGCGGAGCCCCTGCTCGCCTTTCTCGGCCCCCTCCTTGAACTGCTGCATGCAGTCCAGGAAAGCCACCATGGCCTGGTCGAACCTGCTGCTGGGGAGAGCCCTGGGGCCCCAGGCACAGAACAAGGGCAGCTCCAAGGAGTCGTCTGATAGTGACTTCAGGTAGGAGTGGCCCCCGCAGGGGACGAGTCGGTACCTCTGGAACGGCAGACCCACCGCGTTGGACAAGGCCGCCAGCAGCAAGGCCGTCTGCCCCCAGGCGGCGTTGATCTCACCCCAGCTCACAGGGACAGCCGGGACGCAGCCCAGCCTGAAGTTATTGATGACGGCCAGGGGGCCATCAACGCGGATGTCAAACGCGGCCTTGAAGGCACTGGTTTTCACCAGCTGGGCCAGCTGGGCCTGGGCGTACCACAGCCTGCTCTCCACGCTCCTCAGCTCGTCATGCAGTTCCAGCTGCTGCCAATGCAGTTCCCTGCAGTCCCTCTGGTGCTGCCTTTCCCACCGGCCCAGCCTCTCGGCCTCCGCCTGGGCTGCCTCCAGGGCCACAGCCGCGCTCTCTCGGTTCTTGTCCACCTCGGCCAGCTCCTGGACCAGCCTCGCCTCCTCCAGCTCCGCGTCCTTCAGCTCCCCCTGCAGTTCCTCCCTCTCCTCTTCCTCACTTACTCGGTCCCTGGTCTCCAAACAGCGCCTGTAGTTCTCACTCTCGGACGCTGAGATAGCGAGCTGGGTGTCCAGCTGCTCCAGGAGACTGTCAGTGCAGTCCTCGCACAGGGGCTGGCCCAGATCGTCACCAGAGAGGATGTCAGAAATGCCCCCCATGGCCTTCTGGATGCTGCTGAGAGTCCTCTCGGAGCTCAGCTTCCCAAGCAGGGTGAAGCTGCTGGGGCTGAACCTGGACGGCTCGCCATCGCCAGGGAGGGGCCCCCCAGACGCACCCCCTGGAAGCTCTTCAACATCTGTGTCCTCCCTGGAGGTAGAGGCTTCCTCCGGAGTTTCTCCTGGCTCCCCCCTAGCTGCGGGGAGCTTCCAGGCTGCAGGTTCCTGGCTGCCGTCAAGGCCCGAGGTCTCCGTGGGCTGAGTCAGCTTCAGGGGCTGCTGGCAGCGCTGGCAGATGAAGCGGATGGAGGCCATGGTGGAGGCCTTGCCTTCCAACTTTGATCCTAAGTCTCCTCTGGCTCCCCAGTGACTTGTCCGTTTATACTTCGTAAGATCTTTAGAGGAGTGACTTCTACAATGCATATCTCATCTCTCACTCTCCCACCTCAAACCTGACCCTCCTTAGATACCCACGGACCTCCTTTATCCATTTTAGACAAGTGAGTCTTTCTCAAAGGAATATCCAATTATCTCACGTTTCGAAACTTCTTTAACATTTTCAAGGCACATCTGAAGAGCAATCTCTCACATGAAGGATGAGAGTAATCTTCCTAAAAACTAAGATCTGATCATGGTCACCTTCCCTCCTTAAAAACGTTTAATGCCCTTATCTTACCTGAAGATAAAGTCTTAGCATCTTAACCTGATACCAAGGCCTCCTCCCAGGTTTCCATCTTCTCTCCCCACTTCCCGCCACCCTCACCCAGGGGCTTCTCTTTGCTCCTGAAAACCAATTTCATGTCAATCCTTCCAACGTAGCCTGTTGTTCCCTGTGACCCGACACTCTTCCTCTCCCTCCTCACCTGGATAACTCCTACCCATCCTTTAGGGCCGGGTTAGGTGCCATTTCCTCCAGCAAGCCTTCCCTGACCACCAAATTTAGACTCTGTGCTCTGTTGGCACACTTAACGTTCTGTATCGCACAGCAATGTAATGGGCACATATGGGAAAGAGGTCCGTTTAATTAACAAATAAAATCAAATAAGTAATTTGGAGGTCTGCATCTTACCATCAGGTCACCCAGAGGCTGAGATAACAAGATTATACTCCAGGTATTTGCATAACAAAAAACCCTCACGAAGTAACAAAAAACTTTACAAAGACCTTGACTTCCATCTGTCCCCCACCCCTCTGAGCGCGCTAACAAGCCAGAGATACTTGCTCTTGCTCTCAAAACAAAATCTATGAGCTCTTTTTTTATAATCCTCACTTGAGGATATTTTTTTCCATTGCTTTTCAGAGAGAGTGGAAGGGAGAGAGACAGACATCGGTGTGAGAGACGCACATCGGTTGGTTGCTGCCTGCCACCGAGGTGCATGTCCTTGGCTGGAATTCAACCCAGGATCCTTCCGTCCGAGGGCCAGTGCTCTAACCACTGAGCCACCGGCCAGGGCAACACCTATGAGCTTTTAACCTGCCGTTACTGACCTGGTGGAGTAGAGCCTAAAATAAACGCAGAAGGGCCCAATTCCTCAACCACAGCAAGGGGTGGGAAGCCACAGGGCCTGTCTGTCCCAGTGTCCAGCAGGAGGTGGCGTGCCAGCCACACCAGGCCTGGCGGGTGGGCAGGAAATCTTCCTGCAGACTCTCTGCGCTGTGACCTGGGGCTACAGGTTTAGGTGCATCAGTGGACCACCAGTTAGGGACATTGTTCCAGCAGGAAACACGCTTTCTACTGGCCACCCTTTGCTGCAGTTTTCACAAAATTACTGGGAGGTAGGAAGACAGGAGGTACGTTAAGGTGCACAGAGGTTAAGCAACTCGTCAAGAGTCCCTCTAGCCCTCGTGACCTCTCTAATATCCCCCTNGCTTTCTACTGGCCACCCTTTGCTGCAGTTTTCACAAAATTACTGGGAGGTAGGAAGACAGGAGGTACGTTAAGGTGCACAGAGGTTAAGCAACTCGTCAAGAGTCCCTCTAGCCCTCGTGACCTAATATCCCCCCGAATGGATAAATAACAGGGTCATCCTCTGGAAGTTGGCAGCAGAGCACCTACCCCCTCACTCGCAATTCAATATTCCCCAGAATCTGTGGAGCGGGCCAGAGACGAACGTGAACCCCACAACTGACTAGCTGATGGATCGGCTGCTAAAACAGTAACCGGCGTTTGCTGCAAATTTAACAGTCAGGGCTGCACAGCGCCGCAAAGGGGTGCGCTGCCTCCGAGATAGGAGCTCTGGGGTCACTGGGCAGGGATCTGTCGCACGAGCCTGCCTCCCCTCACCCCGACACCCCCTCAGAGGGCTTGGGGAGCAGCAGAGTAAGGAGCTTTCAGTGTGGCCATCGGCTCGGCGTCCTGACCATCCCTGGGAGTAGACCAGCAAAGCAAACGCACTGTCCCCTCCGCTAAAACCTCAGGCCTGGCATTGAATTTGCACCAGCCCAGGGGAAGGGTGTGTCAAGCAGGCCAAGGGAACACGGCTGAGAAGGGGAGGGGGGTTGTTGCAGACTCCGGGTTATCTGACAACTGAGCCGAGCCTCTGGAACAATCCAGAACCCAGCTGTGAGCGCTTCTTTAGCGAAGGAGTGGGTGGAACTGGAGCGCGGCTCTCAGGTGGAAATTAACCCCTTATTTCTGGAGATTTCCCCTCCAGTTCGCCTTCCCTTCTCATTCCGGGGTCTCATCTGTGAGGGGTGAGGGGAACCCAGGCATAGGAGTTGGAAGCACACCCCTAGCTGGTGTTACAAATCGGGGAGTTCGTGGTTCGCGGGTAAAGAGTTTCAGTTTGGGAAGATCGAACAAGTTCTGGGGAAGGATGGTGGTGATGTTTGTACAGCAACGTGAATGCACCTAATGCCAGCGAACTGGACACTTAAAAAATGGTGATATGGTATTTTGTTAGAATTAAAAATAAAATAATAATAAAAGAAATGAAAGGGCCTGGCTACTTCTCTCTCTCTGCAGTGTCCCCGGGGTAATAAAAGAGCTGTGAGAAACTGGCTGAAAGACTCTACCTTTCCTGGGGATTTAGCATCCCCAGGACTCTCCGATGGGCACAAAGCGCAAGGCGTCCCATCATTAACTGAAAAAAATAATCACAGCTGAAAAAGGCTAAGTAAATATGCCTCTTGTGGACCCTGGAGAAGAAAGATTCATTTGATGTGAACCCTGAGAAGTTTATCTGCTGAGGTGTCAACCAAGGGTCCAAGTTTTATTTTTATTTTTAAAAAATATGTCTCTATTGATTTTTNGCCTCTTGTGGACCCTGGAGAAGAAAGATTCATTTGATGTGAACCCTGAGTTTATCTGCTGAGGTGTCAACCAAGGGTCCAAGTTTTTATTTTATTATTTTTTAAAAATATGTTCCTATTGATTTTTAGAGAGAGAGAGAGAGATAGAAACATCAGTGATGAGTCATTGATCGGCCGCCTCCTGCAGGCCCCCTGCTGGGGTGGCCCCGAAACCCAGGCATGGGCCCTGACGGGGAGTCCAACCTTGACCTGCTGGTTCTTAGGCAGGTGCTTAACCGCTGAGTCACGGGGGCCGGGCCGTTGGTTTTTCTTCAGTTTCCACTGGATTCACCTGGTCCTCAGCAGGCGGGAGGGGGAGGCAGCATGTCCCCAGAGAGTCCATAAAAAATCATAATAAATGCTCCAGAGACACTGTCTGCATCAGCCGAAAACTTTGAGAGGTTGGCTCGGACACCAGGGGACTCCCAGGCCAGCCGTGCTTACCGAGCCCCTGGTCAGCTGCTTTTAGCTTCATGTCATTCTTTATTGAGTCCTCCTGGCAGGTGACGACTTTAATCCTGTAAGCTTTATTTTTCAAAGTCAGCAACATTTGCTTTCCTTGCCTGTCTTTGTTCTGAGTGGGATGCGAGCAAAGCCATGTCCTCTGCCCAGTGGTTCCAGCACGAGGAGAGAGTATTTCCCCACCAAAAACTCCCTCCCTGCCCCGAGGGGGAAAATATTCAGAGGCAAAGTGCTGCCTTTGGGCTTTTATTTCACTTCATTTTCATTTTTATTCTATTTATTGATTTGAGAGAGAGAGAGAGAGAAGCATCGATTGCTGTTCCACTAATCTATGCATTGTCTATGGTTGATTCTTGGATGTGCCCTGACCGGGGATCGAACCCACAACTTTGTTCAGGATGATGCTCTAAACTACCCGACCAGGGCTACCTCTGAGTTTTTAAAACGCCTGGAACCACAGGGTTCTTTGGCCTCGTTTCCAAAGTTTCCTTTGGAAAATTCTTAGAGAAATTTGAAGCCAGAAATTAAAATACAGAACCAGTGAAATGTTGAAATTAAAGAGAAAACAGCTGCCACATCAACAGGGGGAGCTCTCACTTTCTTTGGGTTTGTTAGCAAGGCACCTGCCACCTTTTAAAAACTGGTTATTCCTGAGAGCACCTTTTTTTTTTTTTTTAAATGTCTTTATTGATTTTGGGGAGAGGAAGGGAAAGGGAGAGAGAAACAGCAATGACGAGAGTCACTGACCGGCTGCCTCCTGCACGCCCCCTGCTGGGGATCGAGCCCACAACCCGGGCATGTGCCCTGACCAGGAATCAGAGCACGAAGGGGGGATAAATGGTGATGGAAAGAGACTTGATTTTGGATGGTGAACACACAGTACAATACACAGATGGTGTACCATAGAATTGTACACTTGAAACCTATATAATTTTATCTACCAATGTCACCCAATAAGTTCAATTATTTATATATATAAACCAAAATGAACAGTAAGAAAGCAGTGCTTGTAATTGCTCTTCAGATGTCAGCAATGTGGAAGAGCTGCCCTCCTGTGGAGCTTTTGAAGTAGTGTTTTAATGGTTAGAAATCAAAGAATTTATTTCCTGTTGCTTGGCTCAGGGAACCCTGAAGTTGCGGTTTCTGAGTTACAGGTCACCCTCTCCAGTCTGTCTTGCGAGAGGGAAAGTCACACTCCAGCGTCTTCACTGTCCCCTCTTCAGCTCAGCCGCTCTCCTGGGCTGCGCTTCATGTCCCCTGTGTCTGAGGCCCTCTGGTGCCGCCAGCTGGCTGGAGAGGAAGCTTCGTCTTTGGGAAACGGGGATTTTGTGCACCAGGGACAGGATCTGTGGTCTGATTGCTGCGTTTCATCTTTCCTAAGGTACACCATGGTAACATTTAAAAAATACAGTGTCTTAAAGTTGATGGAGTATTAATATAGTGGATTTTTTTTCTTTCAATGGTACATAAAATAATAAAAAAGTGCTTCTTACAATTAATTACATCTTCAATTTGATGAAATCTTAATAGTATTTTAAAAAATGTTACAGTAAAGCAAAAAATAGGAGAAAATCACACAGACAGCTAAATGGCTTGGTAAGTTATTATAAGGCTGACAGCTTATCTTATGATGTGGATAACTTAATAAGCTATTCTGTTATTATAAGACAAACTGTCATAAAATACACTACCTAGGTCACCATATAAAATGCTGCCAGCCACTCCCAGAATCCCCTCCATGGGCTCTGTCCTAATAATCAGTATCCCCCTGCCAGGGGTAACCCCTATCCTAAATTTTATAGTAAGCCTTTTTTATATTTCTGTTTTATCACCAAAGTGTGCGACCCTTAATTATCTAATTTAGTTTTGTCCATTTTTAATACAAAATTTCCCTTTCCATCCTGTTCCTTAGTTTATCTGTTGAAACTCCCGGGGCACCTAGCCTGCAGTTTCTGTCTGGATTTTGCTAATTGCACGCTCCCGCTGCAATTCCACTGTCTCACTCGCTCAGTGTTGGCTTACCTTCCAGCAGTTTCTCCTGTGGGGACCCTGTGGAGACTGCTTGTCCTGCACTCACGCACCCCGGGCAAGGGCAAAGGTGTTTCCCACCCGGCCTGCTGCGCGCCCCCACGGTTCTTCTCAAGGCCCCTTCTCAGGCCCACTGGGTGTCCTGTCCCCTTCCTCTCCCGAGCCGATGGCAGTACCTTCGCGTGGGCTGTGGCCGCAGCTGGGTCGGCTTCGCCCGCTTGCATTTTGCGATGTGAGGGCCCCTGGGTTACCTAAACAGGTTGCAATGTTCGTGGCTGCAATGACTTGCTATCCACGTGTGGGGATTTGAAGACTGAAACACTACGGTACTGTCTCCATTTTCCCTTTTCCAACACCAACTTTAATTTTTTCGGCCAATCCCACTGCCAGCCTTACTTCGAGCCCCCCCCACCTGCGTCACGCCTCCACTTTCTGAGCCCATCTGAACGGTTACCTCGTTGGCTTCTGCCACTGGAAACACAATTCAATGCACCACTTGCCACTTACACACGTTTCCTTGCCCGTCTCTTCTTCCATTAACCTTTGTGAATCTACAGTACGTTTCGTTCCTCTGCTGGCCTTTGACGGGCATTTTAAATGGGTGAGAAGATAAATGTTTGTAGACCATGTTTGAGTCACACTCTTAATTTGTTCTACAGAGGGAAACATTCATTGAAAACTCAGGTTTGCTTCTATTTTTTGGATTTGCTTTTTCCCCAGATTGGTTTTCATTTTTGTTCCTTTTTAAAAATGTTATGCTGTTTCTTACAATGCTGTGTTTATCGTTCCATTCTGACCTCTATAGCCAACAGTCCTTTATTTAAAATCTCATTTAAAAATTAAAATACTCTGGGTCCCTATCCTTTATCTTACATACTCTTAGAGTAGTAATTTCTTTACTTCATGTCAGATCTGCACTTGCACAGATGGTTCTCGCTCCAGGTAACTGCCTATTTCTCTGTAGAGTGTACATACCAAAGCCTTCGCAATTTTAGTATCTTACATCACACCTAGGGCACTAGGTTTAAATATATGTTAAGGAATTTCTAGCCCGGACTTCAAAAAAGACATTAAAAAAATAGGCTATTTTTGAAGTTTAAGAATATTAATGATATAAGAAGTAGCTCCTTTCACATAAGGCTAAATGCAATTTTCTTTCACTGTCAAATCTGTAACCCAACCCAGCTCTTCAGGGGTACTAAAGCAATGACCTTGAAGCCTCCCAACTGCCCCTCCCATCCCAGCAACTTTATTTTCAACCCTGAAAGATAGAAGAGGCTGGTGGAAAATTTTAAAGCTTGGAGAAATACAGTGATTTCCTCTAGGATAAAATAATTACAGAACTGTGGTTTACCATTCACCATATTTATGTCTGACAACGAAACAGAAATCTTTAGAGTACATTTTTATAAATCCCAGCAGACTTGCCCAATTAACATTAAAACTTCCCCAAATTGTCAAAAACAAAATAATTTCTCTAGTTAGCTTCTTATGAAAATATAAAAAGCTGAACAAAAGAAACAATCACAGTTAATATACAAAATGCATTCTATTTAAAAAAGTGGCATAAATCTAAACAAATCTTTCAGACGGGTAACCGCCTCATTCCCAAGCAGGACTTTACATCGACAGAAAGTCTCTCGTAGGCAAGAGCTTCCCAGCTGCCCGCGTTCATGGGAATATTGCTCTCTGCACAAACGCGCACTGGGATTTGTTAAATATGTCTTCTTCTGTTTCAGGCGTTAGTTGGATATTATCTTTGACCGGAGACAGGGGATCTGGCTTCTTGCAAGAAGGCAGCTTTTCAGAATCTCTGCAAAATAGAACAGAATGAAATGCATGTGGTGCTTTTAGGGTAGCAATTAGAAAATGATCTCCCTGGATATATGAGGAAGACAAGACCCTTTGTTGTGTGATTTGCCTAAATTCACAATATGCACATTCAGGTTCTCTGAGCACATCAAACAAACCTGCTTCACAGTGTCCTCTTGCTTCCTAAATTACCTTTCACAGTAGGTGCTGGGTGCCTAATAAATCTATACTGGCTAAGGCGGACCGAGTCCAATACAGAAACTAGTTCTTTTCTACTTAGCACCGTTCTCAAGTCCTGCTAACAACCAATACAAGCGAGGCATAAACAAACGCTTTAGCCCGATGGTTTACTCCCCCACCCCCTTTTTTGGGGGGGGGTGTCTGTGTGTTTGGTTGGAAGGGGGTATTTGCATATACTTACACACAAAAAAAGCCAGTCTCACTAAAGAACAGTCTTGACAAAGTAGTAAAAAGCATTCATTTCATTAAATCTCAACCCTCTCAACTTTTAATATTGTGACAGAGAAATACATATAGTGCACTTTTGTTGGACACCGACTTTTGCTGCATGAGGTAAGATGATTATCTCAACTGAAAGCACCTGTAACACTACTGTTATTCAAATTTAGGTATTTGGTAAAGGGCTGCTCTAAAATGAAGAGAGCCTGTTTGTTACTTCCAAGAAAGCAACTAAAAGTATTCATTGCCAGTAATAACACTGAAGCTTTCAAGTGAAAATTTGAATTATGGAAAACCTGAATCTGCCACTTGACAGCTTCCGAATACTGGAAGATTTTGATGTAAGATTGGTTAATACTGTAGAAATACTGTATAATGAAAGTAATTTGTTTAACAACAGGGAGACTCCCAGAGCCAGATTGGGAACTGAGGGTTTTTTTCAGTTTGCCACCTTTTCACTAAAAGAAGGCACAGAAATTGAAGTTAATATACTTACAGTCAGCTAAAGGAAATGGGGGAATATAATTCTCTTAGGTAAGAGACAAATAAATTGACTCACATGGAAATACAAAGAGTTGGGAGATGGACTGAAATTACAGAAAAAAAAAAAGTACCCTATTTTAGAGTAACAACAAAACTCACTTTTTAAATCCAAAATTTTTCCAGAGCTCGTTGATTTTTATCTGCAAGCCCGGCTTGTTCTCGGCATCATGATGCTTCCTCTTCTGGCTTCTTGCTGGCCTCCTGCTCAGCCCACTGACTCTGGCGGGTACCAGAGGTTTGATCTTGGTTGTAGGAAGACTGTCCAAAGAACTAGATTTATAGAGCCCGGGAACCTGAAGATTAAATGCCCGTTTTAATACTATTCTGTTAAAGCAACTACCTTTAGTTAAATTTCAAACTATTCTTTATACTCTGGAACAGAAAAATAACATAAGCAGTGTGTCAAAAAATGTGCTATTTATAAACATCTGCAAAAATTATCATAATTTTAAAAGGTAATAGATGCAGCACCTGGCACTAAATTTAAGTTATAAAATAGAGAAAAGTGAGCCCCTCCCTTTCGCTTTCATCACCTCTCTGCAATCGCTGTCTCAATCCATTTACAGTCGGCACCCCTTATTCGTGGAGGATGTCCCAAGACCCCCAGTAGATGCCTGCAATGTGGACAGTGCCTAACCCTATAGATACTATGTTGTTTTCTGTACATACATACCTGTGATCAAGTTTAATGCCTTTTCCATCTACAGTAAGCCCTGAACACACCCTGCAGCTGTAACTTTTGCAGTTTGAGGTGCGAGAGCAAAACTAGCACAAATTCCTTTTCTTTCTTCACAATTTCACAATAGAAGGTTTGTCCTTACCATAGATCTCAGCAACCTCAGCACACAAATTTTTCTTTCCTTAGTAAGTCGAGAACATTCACTTTAGGGCTCCTCTTCAGCATGTCTGAATTGTAGTAGTAGCATCCCTACTCTTATGCTTTGGGGACATTATTAAGTAAAATAAGGGTGACTTGAGCACAAGCCCTGATAACACGACAGGCGGTCTGATAACAAAGACGGCTCCTAAGCAGCCAACGGTGTGTAGCGTACACGGCGGGACTCCACTGAACACGGGGCCTCGCCTCCCAGGCGGGATGCAGTGAGGCGTGGAATTTCACTGTGCTACTAGAACATGACATGCAATTGAAAACTCATGAAGTGTTCATTTCTGTAATTTCTCATTTAATATTTTCAGATATTTAATAATACTTTTCAATATTTAATAATAATGACCATAGGTAACTGAAACTGCAGAGAGTGAAACCACGGATAAAGGGGGACTGCTGTACACACACACACACAGCAGCATAATACACACGGTTGTGTACATTGTGTTTATCACCTAATATATCTTGACTTTACTTAATAATGTGTCTAGGAGACTTTTCCATTTCATACATAGAACTAAATTTTGTTTTGAATAGGTTGCCTGTTCTTCCACCGTATAAATGAGCCATAATTTACTTACACAGATCTCTATTGACATTTAGGTTGTTTCCACCGAAGGGTTGATTTTTATTGGGTGAAATGTGGGGCCGTTAAGGTGTTGGTGTTTTTAGGATAGTAACAAGGAGGTATATAAAGCAAGTGAGGTATGTAAAATTGATGGAGCTGGCAGGCGGTGTACAAAGAATGAAAAGATTCACACACGAAAGGTGGAAATCCTGAGTGAGGGTGTTGGTGACAGGAAAAGGGAGAGAGTAACAGACAAGACAAAGAAAGAAACAACCAGAATTTGGATAGACGTTTGGTCGTTTTTCTTTACCCCCTGCAGAAGAAAGATTATAAAGAAAAGGCACATGACTCTATAGTCATTACAAATAATGCTAAGTAAGCACATGGAAAAAGATCTTTATACCACAAGGGAAAATAGCAGGTTTCACAACTTAATCACCTTCAATCAAGCACAAACATTATTGATCTAAGATTTGAAAGCAGACATTTTTGTATAAATGAAAATACAGGCATTTTAATTTTTAATTTGCTTATATTTCTCATTTTCTGGTAATAATCATACACTGCTTCTGAAATTAAAAAAATAAATAAATGTTTTACCTTGCTCCTTAGACGCCTGTCTTTGTTTGAAAAATGAGATAAGTGTACCTTGGATTTCTGATTACCCTGATTGCCAAGTGACTTAAAATTGCAACCAGATTCCTAGATCCCCCAGGTCAAAAAAAAAGTAAAATTAGATTTTTAATATGGGATTTTTATGACAACTAATCAAAACTCAACAAAACATAAAACGAATGAGAAAAACCATATAAATAAAATGTAGTTTTTCAGAACAGAAAGTATAACAAGCTTGGGATAGAATAAAAGATAATGGACCCAATGTGGAAAGAACGAGGTTTGCGGGTTTCTTACAAGTCAAGTCCACGCTACAAAGGGAAGGCCTTTCTGCACGGTTTCTGAAGCCAGCCCAAATGCTGAAACTCAAGGTAACAGCCTCCGCCTGCGCGGCCTGCCTAAGTTTCATCAATCCCCAGCTCCACAGCGCTGAGCCAGGGCAGTTCTACATCTCACTGTGTAACACGTTCAACCTTAAAGAGAAAAAGGCGCCTGCTTTCTAGAAGTAGGGCAGCACGGAATGGAAAGCAGTCACTTTTAGCAATGACTGCAAGACCCACCCTCTACCCCAACCCCATCACGGAAGACTTTTCTAGGGACAGAATCATCTGGATTCCCACCAAAGTCAAATAAAAAGGACAAGTGGAAATTTAGAAAACTACATTGCTGCATTTTTCATGACGGTTTTCTTTTAATATTTATCTTGGGATTCTACACAGTATCATATACTTAAAAAAAACCAAGGTGAAAAAATACTCCAGAAACTGTAATATTCTTCACACACTGGGAACAGGAGTGGTGACTCTGGGCTAACCCATTTTCTTTTCTTTTTTTAAGTCTTTATTGATCTCAGCGAGAGGAAGGGAGAAGGGGAGATAGAAACATCAATGATGAGAGTCACTGATGGGCTGCCCCCTGCACGCCCCCGACCGGGAATCAAACCACGATCTCCTGGTTCATAGGCTGACGCTTAACCGCTGAGCCACGCTGGCTGGGCTAAACCAATTCCTCAAAAAGATCACAAGTAAGGTCCTGAGGTTAATCCACCTCAGATGGGGTCACTGACCTCAGTACCCACAGAATAGATGGCTGCTGCCTGTAAGTGAACCATCAGTGGAAATCGCCACTACAGAAACATTCCCTTGAGAGCCACACAGTAAAAACTGACACTCAAATGGAAGGCCCAGTGCACTGTGGCTTTCTGAAACAGTTTCTGGATGAAACACATTACACAGTCTTTGTTTTATTACTCTTTTATCCTAATAGGAATTTACTACATCCGGAGGCAAAAGACCACTTAAAGAATAATTTCTAGTTTACTTTGTCTTTTGCTGAGGGGAGAGGATTCATGTTTCTATAACTAATTAGTACAACAAATGGTCGGCCAGAAGACAAGAAACTTAATAAAAAATTTTCCTTTTGAGAAATACAAGCTATGCTGGTTTGTTAGATGCTGTCCAAAATTCAGGATTATCAGACACTAAATTCTGTCCAATACCATTGAGGCTATAATTGCTCTCACAACTTGGCAATTATAGTCGGCAGATATAAAATGAAGTATGTTACACTGAGATATCTCAAACTGAGACGCTAAAGTATTTTGAGATAACTCAGATTTGAAAAAAGCTATTATGTTATGTCATTTTAAAATATAATGTCACTGGGTCTCATGAACAGTACTTACTTAGGGTTTTAATTTTATTTTAGTCAGATTAAAAGGTATTTTATAAATAAAAAATGATTAGGATGCTTTTATTAATTCAAAGCAAAATAACATAAAATCTCTTGTTTTATTTTGTTATAAAGGGGAAATTAAGCAAGAGTAAGAGTTAATGAAAATATATTTCTGAAGTATTAAAACTTAAGATGGACACCATCACATTAATAGGGCCATCTCCTTATAACGTTTCAAATGTTCTCTGAATTCAAGAGTTTATTAAGGAATAAATATTAAATTTATAACAACTTTTCATTTCATAGCTTATCATTCTGCTTAGGTCTTAACTTCCACAACTTCAGACACCTATCACCGGAACACACAGCGATTCAAAAAACATAGTTAGAGTAAATGTACAAGAGTTTAAAACAGGAAAGATACAGAGACATCCTTCAGATGAGTAAAATGTGCATTTTCTACACAGTAACATTTAGAATGAAAAATCTAGACAGCCAATTCTTTCCATAACATAGGCAAACTTTTCTCAATTATATGATAAACACCCTCTTTTGTTCCACACATACATTAGAAAACAAAGGCTTCATGATGCGACTTACCTCTGAATGGAAATCCTTGCTAGAAGGCTGAGAAAGTTTTGACTCATTTAAGCTGTGTGGTGATAATGCCACGCTCTCCTGAGATTGTGAAGACCAGTCCAGTTCATGTACAGGGTGAGTTTCACCATCTGACTCATCACTCTTTACCTGAGACACCTCGGGCATCTCACGCTTAGGCAGAGAGCTGGGGGAATCGCCCTTTCTCTGGAACTGATGCAACAGTGTGCTTGGAGAGGGGCTCGGAGTTCTTGAAAAATCTCGAAGACTTCCAGACCAACTAAAACAACTTCTTAGTGTCCCCAAAGTAGGTGGTGAAATGGTCCTTGTGAATCTGCTGGTCTTGAAAAATGGAGACTCTTCATCAGCAGTCACAGTTATACCCTCTGGAATATGTTTGCTTGGATTATGTGCTGCATTCCTATCAACGAGCTTCTTGCTCTCTAGACAATCTGATTCGAGATCAACCAGCTTCTTGCCCTCTAGACAATCTGATTCATCGAGATCGACCAGCTTCTTGCCCACTAGACAATCTGATTCATCGAGATCAACCAGCTTCTTGCCCTCTAGACAACCTGATTCATCGAGATCGACCAGCTTCTTGCCCTCTAGACAACCTGATTCATCGAGATCGACCAGCTTCTTGCTCTCTAGACAACCTGATTCATTGAGATCAACCAGCTTCTTGCCCTCTACACAATCTGAGTCATTGAGATCAACCAGCTTCTTGTCCCCTAGACAATCTGATTCATTGAGATCAACCAGCTTCTTGCTCTCTAGACAACCTGATTCATTGAGATCAACCAGCTTCTTGCCCTCTACACAATCTGATTCACTGAGATTGGTCTTTTCATTTGTGACAGCAGTTTCATCTAGAGGCTGGCTGCCTTCTTTCTTTGATACAGAGTCCATAGAATCCAGAGAATTGCAAAAAAACCTAACAGAAAAAACAGAATGCATAAGTATTATAGTTTCCTCACAAGGTGATTAAGATTCAGAAAATGGCCCAGTTTCTTTTTAAAACAAAGTCTCGTAAATAAGTAATTTTATAATTAAAGGCAAAAGAGAGCTTGAACGTTCAATTGAGAAATTTTTTTACACAGCAAATTTTTAGCATTTTCTAAAAGCAATCATGTCTATATACACGTAGTTAGAGCTTGTGTATCTTATCGATGCCTAATCACTGCAGAGATATTCTTTCTGCAAACCTTTCAGCTCCCAAACTGACCACAAGCTCCCCGAGGACAGGCACTGCCCATGCCTCTGTAGCCACCATAATGCTGAAACGGCGGCCGCACAGGCCTGGTGGCCAGATTCCTGAACAGGGTTAGAAATACGCAACAGAAAAGACCATTTACGACGACCGCCTCATATTTTGTAGAAAGCAAAATGAAACCAGCCATTTACCCCTCATCTTAGGTTATTTCTAGCAGCAAACCATTTGGGAACTTGTAGGAGAGGGCTAATCTACCAGCTTTTTATACACCCTATAAACTTCCATATTATTTTAATACTGAGGTCAAGACTTTCAAATCAATCATTAAATTCTTACTTAATGCAGCAGCTTTTTTAAAAAACATCATTTAAAAATACTTCAATACAAAGGAAAGAAAGCTGAGTATCATTATTGGAGAAAATGTATTTAAGGACAGTTTTTAGGATTAAAAAGAAAATCCCAGGGTACACCATCAGATAAACTTAGATAACACTTAGAGTTTACCTTCTCAATAAGCACTATTGAGTTCAAGTTCAAGATATAAGCAGAATATTTATTAAATGCTGGAGAGTAAAACCCTCTCTCTCCTTTCATCAAATCCCCCAGTAAGGTCTACAATTCTCATTTTGGTTCTGCATAAAGCGATGACAAAAGTCACAGAAGTTCAAGGGAAAAGCTGTGCATTTAGGTCTGCACTAAGGCAATACATGATAAAAATTATAAGTGGATGCAGTCAGGTCCTATAGCTTCCCCAACTAGATTCAATGTTTATTAAGACAATTAAAACACCTATCAGTGGAGTATGTAACACAGCAGACAAACAGCATTCTAGAGATGTAACCATACCTGCTTCTGGTCCCTGGAACCACAACTGCACCACTCTCTTCATTTTTTCTCTGTAAAAATGCTGCAAATTTGTTTCTCGTTGTCGGTGGTGTGCTTACGGTTTTTTTAATAGTAGTTCCGTTTACCAGGTCAGGCATAAACGTTTGGGAGGAGTTCAAGAATTTACTACCTTCGCAACTGTTCTTCTTGGTCTTCTTTGTAAATGAGAGAGAATATTGGCTCAACAGATCATCTTCGGACAGCTCTTCTAAACAGAAACAGAGTTACCAATAAACCTGTGGTCACAAGCAGGTAGAGATTCCACTTAAATTTCACAGTCCATGTCCCTTTGTCCTAAAGATGAAGTCTTTCTTTGAAAAAAACTGCATCAGGAAAGGAAACCCAAGGATTTAAAAAATAAAAAAAAATTCCATAGCTGTGTTCTATAATTTCACAAGTTAGCTACGATTTCATGTCAATTATTTGTATAATTTTATGTGAAATTACCCAAACCAAAATGTCAGGACACTCAATTCTGTAAGGCTATATATTCATTCTACTAAGGGCCTAATTTTGACTGTAAAAAACAAAACAAAACAAAAACAATTTTAAGGACATTTACATGTAAATATATAATCAATTTAATGTTTGATTTAAAAAATGTTCCAGTAAAACCAGTAGTTCTTTATACACACCATCTAAGGGATGTGGTTTTTCAGGTATTGTGATTGTCAGGTAGTCAGAAGTAATTTGCACTGTAGCTCTGATCTTATTACCTGGCTCTGGGCCCTAGAAGACTGCATGGCAAATGTATTCTGTGGTATTAGAGAAAATAAAAAACTAAATACAAAGGCTACACCCCGAGATGGGCAAACATAGAGAAAGCAGTAAGTATTTTTAAATTAGTTCAACTAATTCTCAGTCTGAACAGCTTCCAGTCACATAGGAGTCAATGCTCGTTACTCTAAATGTCAGTAAAATAGTTAAGGGCACCAAAATACTAGAGACAAGAAGCTGATACCTCAAATTTTAAAATGTAGACTTTTAAAAAGCTAGAGATCGGTAAATTTGATTTTGGCTCCTGGCAAAAGCCGAAGTGTGTTTTTTATGAGGGAATTATGAGCCCTTACAGAGGAGGAACAAACAGATATTGTAAGAGCCCCAACAAGGCTTCCCCAAGAAGCCACACCAGACTAATTTCATCTTCTTTTTGTGACAAGCTTCAGATTAGCTACTCCGAGTAATTCCATAGATGTAGCATTATCCTGAGTTGAGGTAGACACTCGGTGTCTCTCCTGTTATCCAGTAGAAAATACAGACAGAATCTATTGTATATTAGTTACGTGGATTAGCAGCAGGTTGAACAGCCCTGAGAGACTCCTGACAATTATGAGCCTGAAAGGAGATCTGTCTCTATATAATGCTTCAGGTTTCTGCACTTGCTCTGAGTCAGTTCAACAGTACATAAGCAAACACATTTTAACACTAGATAAGCAGAGCTTTAAGACACAGGAACCAATGCTTCTCAAATTTCTAGCTGACAAAGATAATACCCATATATTAGAAGATAATACAAATCTTAATGACCTTGGGTTTAGCAAGGATTTTTTACAAATGATCAATACTAACTAATATTTCACAAAAACGATATACATACCACTTCTTGGTCTTTTCACAATGGCCAACTTCCTTGGAAGATTTAACCCTTTAGTACTAATCACTTGTTCAATGCCCACAGTACTTGGCCTTTCCTTCAATCTTGTTGTGCCTGGAACAATACCCAGCTCAAGTCTAGGGCAATAATTCCTATGCCAAATGCTATTAACATTAGATGACTTCTGAGATGTTCTGTCATCCCAGCTACGACTTCTTGATTGGGCAGGCTAAAACAGTAAAAGACAAAAAGTTGCTTGAAGAAAAACAGTCAATTTATTTCCCTCTGTGTCAACATAAATTATAAGCAAATAATTAAATCACCCTTAAAAACAACAGCTTTTTCATGAAATATCTGTCCTTTAATAACATTTTCAGCCCAGCTGGGCGAGGCTCAGTGGTTGAGCGTTGGCCTAGGATCCAGAAGATCGAGGTTCGATTCCTGGTCAGGGCACATGCCCGGGTTGCGGGCTTGAACCCAGTCGGAGGCGTGCAAGAGACAGCTGATCAATGACTCTCTCATCATTGATGTTTCTCTCTCTCTCTCTTCCTCTCTCTGAAATCAATAAAGATATATTAAAAAAAATTTTTTTTTTCATTTTCTAGTCCTACACTTTTCTGTTAAATGTGTCTTATACTCTTAGGTTTGTTTCTCCTCTAACAAAGGTAAAGTGACCTTGTTAGCTCCTTTCTAAGAAATAAGTACTCTTAAAATTTGAGTATTATTTCAATACACAACATTAATTAGTTTCATAATCCCCTGACAATAAGCCTCTAAATAATCATTTACATACCCTTTACAAAGCACCTGAAAGTTAAAACCATAAAATAATGTATTTAAAGTAATCAACTACTGCACCTTTAGAAACGGGGTGAGTCAAATCAAAACAGCCTAATTTACAAAACATTAGTTTCTATTAAACCCATGATTGGAACCATCTTTAGCGGACAATATGAAGACTTTCTCTGGGGAAGGGCTTATTGACAGGTAGTAGTGGCGTATTTACCACATTTATTTGCTGAATGAATGTCTCTTTCATGCATGAGTTACATGATCTCTTTCATCCTATCAGACCAGAAAACTTGGAAACAAGCTGCCTGCTTTCACTGCTAAGTCCCTTTGCTTCTTTTAGTTGTCTTTCTGGTGAACAAGTTTTTTCTTTCTCAGTTTCCAGTCCAATCCTTGCTCTTTCCCATCAGTTCAGTCCTTTCCTAAGCGCTTACTACGCATGTTAAACACATCAGGTTAGCTAGTGTTCTGGAGCACAAGGAAAAGAAACTATAACCCTTGCTTGTAAGGACTTAGCAATGGAAGACCATAAAACCCTGCCTTTATGAAGATTAAAGTCTTTTGGGAAGAATCAGAAAATAAACCACAGAGACATAAACTACACAGTAGTTAAGTGCTAAAAAAGGAAAAAGAAATCTCAGGGAAAGCTGGTGAGGATGAAGAGTTTGTCTTTGTGGATAGATTTAAGGTTACAAGACGTTATTTATGCAGAGATTCAAGAGACATTTAGAATGATGTGGCTGGTACACAGACTAGAGATTGGGTTAGAACAAATATGAATGAAAAGAGAGCAGAGTCTGAACGAAAATATGAACAGAAAAGAGAATGGTGGAAGAGTGGACCATAAGGGGTATCTATATAATTGGGAAAAAGTAGAAGAAACCAGGAAAGGGCTTAAAGAACATAGCAGGGTGCTCATTAAATATCTGCTGAATTGCGAATGAGTGAGAACCATCTTATACTCCCAAGGGTAGTGTTTCTAGATCTGGGTCTTCAACACCACCAATGACAAAAGCTGAACAGGGTGAGACGAGAAGAACAGCATCAAATGCTTGGTATAGTCAAATGAAATGTTCAAGTCCAAGGTTTGATAATATATAAATGTGGTCACTTTTTAACTTAAGGAAATTAACTAATACACCTGTGTTCTACGAGATATAATTTCCCTGGCACAAGTTGTTTCCAATCTACACTCTGCACAGTGCCTGGATATAGAAGTGCTTAACAGATATTCACTAAGTGAAGGTCTGCTTTTAGTCACGGCTCCCAAGACATAACTAAATGTGCTTTTAGAAAGAAGCCATTAGAGGGTTACCGTAGCAGTGTCTGGACTGTAGTCATCAATCTGTTCAAAAGTATTTATATCTTTATTTCCAAGTGCTATCTGAAGAGCTATGGAATCATCAATATACCTAGGTTGGTAAGATTAAGGAAAAATGCTTTTATTAACAGCCAAACAAAAACCACTGTATTAAGACAGAAAAGTGTATTCTATTGTCACAGAAAATCTTCAGGTTTATAACGTCAATGGCCCCTACTTACCTCTACACTCAGCATTACTGAAACTACAAGCATATTTACTCATCTCTACTTGTCATTGCAGTAGTTGGTTGTTTCTGAAACAAAACCCCAGGTGACTATTACTCCCTTTCAAGAGATGGAAAGTCCTGGCCCCCAGCTGAGTGGCTCAGGGCTCTGCACCACCCGAGTGTGTGTGCCTAGTGGCTGTGGGAGGGGCATCCTCAGCTGCAGTCCTCACATGCCCACAATGCCCCTCCTAATCCATCCAGCTTGCTTGCCACGAGTGTTTCTCTTAGGTGCCACCTTAGGAATATGTTCCTTAAGTGACTGACGCTGGACATGTTTCTATTGTCAATCTAAGTAATTAGCAAGTTCTAACAAACAAGTTATAAACGAGTTCTCAAGTTTACAGTTCTCAGGTTTATAAACGAGAAGTTGCTCTCAATTTTCACTAGCATGGTAATTAAAATGAACTGAATACAGATTTCGCTATAAAAAGAAAGCAAGAAACAATTTGTATGCTGTTTACTGAATATCTCACTAAAAATGCCATCATAAACACATGGAGGCACTGAAAAATTCTACCCCTCTGGTTCAGAAAGGATACTGGCCAGCATAGCTTAGGGTTGCAGGGTCAATGTCATCTCCATAGTCATTCAGAGGGATGAGCTTCCTTCTGATGGGATCAAACACTAGCTGATAAAGGAACGTGTTGTTGGCCCGAATAAATCCTTTGATGTAATCTTCTGGTACAGTTATATTCATCTTGAGATAATGTCCAATCTTCTTGATAACCTAATAATGGATGCAATGATATTTAAGAGTTATCTGCAAATAAAGAGTACAGACTATACCAGCCTCAAAACCAACAGGTTTACATGAGAGCAGTGATGTGAGGTAACTGAGAATTTTCCAGAGGCTCCTTGACACGGAACATCACATCAGACTGCATGAGGAAGAAGATACGAGAACCCCGCTGTCGCCTATTAAACCAGATTAGAGATTTATATAAATGTTCAATTCTTCTCACAATTTTCGTTTGTTTTAGAAGATGTGGCTATTTTTCATAAAAATATACAATTTGTGTTAATATGTAATGAATTTATTATTATTAATTTTAAATGAATTAATAAAACATTTCAACTTTTGTTTTAATTCCTGATTTGGTAAATGTCAATAGCTATAACCCATATAAACAAAAACCACCACTACAAAGAACTTTTAAGAGTATAAAGGGATCCAGAGACCAAAAGTGTGAGAACTACTACTACTGCGTATAGGACAGAAATCAAAAGATGGTACGTTTTACCATCACTCCTACCCCAGAATCCTTTAAGTAGCCCTAACTCTCTTTATATTACTCTTCCTTTTAAAAATCACTACTACTTATTTGTCAATGGCTGAAAAAATGGTTCATTAGCAGGCAAAAGCAAAGTTCTAGCGTGTGAGTCATTTTCTTATTTCAGGGAAACATTATTGGCCATTAACGTAACAGAATATTTACAATCCACATTCTGAGTTGTTTTACCTGTTATTTAAGAAATGCTTCAGAAACTGGATATGACACTTGGTAAATCGCTTACCTTTACAATGTCTGGGTTATTGGCCAGCCTCAGCACTTTGCAGGCCTTTGCCAGTCCAATCCCGCGCAGCGAGGGGAGGTAGTCGCAGCCCGAAAGAATACACATGTAACGGAACTTCTCTTCTGTGAACACATCCCCCAGCTGTCTGCACATGCCCAGCCGAGCCTGGTCAATTTCCAGTCCGTTTCCAACCTGGTCCATTTTTAAAATCACCTTCGGAAGGGAGGGAACTGTTAATGCCTACGGGGGCCACTTTTCTTTTTATTACACTGTCTGCTGCGAAACTTTTAAGGCACCTCTCGTTCCTCACCCGGCACTGAGAGCAGAGGCAGCAGGGCCAGCTAACCACCGTCAAACCGGCACAGCAATTAAACTGAAGCGCCGGCTGTGGCTCTGACCGACAACTGCCCTCGCCACACTGTTACTTCCTACTGACATCGCAGGGCTGACACGGTGACCAAACAGCAATTCCTATAGAGAGCACTTCCCCAACCTTCTCCTGTTACTTTTTTAAAGTAACCCTTTTTCTTATTTTTAAAGTAATACATATTCATTACAGAAAACTGGAAAACACAGAAACTTAGGAGGAACAAAATAACAGCTGTCCTAAATCTCTCATCTATTAATTACCCAGCATTAACCTTTTGACACAGATCCTGCTAGACGTCTATGAAATATATGGATAATATGAATAACCCAGTTAAGATCACCTTATACTTCTGTATCTTAATTTTCCCCTTAATATATCACAAAAATTTCCACTAAACAGTTTTATACACAATCCCATTAATGGATAAGTTAGTTTATTTACCTAATCTAATTGAAAAATATAAAGCACATAAGTTATCATTATTAAAAAATAAGACTGATAAGTCTATATTCTACTAACAAATTAAGACCAAACAACAAAATGCTCTAATCTAAGGGCTTACTCTGGAAAAGCACTCAGGCTATACAAATGTCAAGCAGCAAAACCCTTCTTTCATTTTAAATAAAATTAACACTAAGTAGATATTAATTTCAGGTATTAAACATAATATTACTGGAGGGGAAAAACTTTAGCTCCTTGATTTACACTATACAAATACCTTTTTTTTTTCCCCCCCAGCACTAAGTCGAGTTCTTTACTTCCCAGAAGTGATGGCTAAGGGGAGGAAGAAGGGGAGGGTAAGACGAGGAAGACAGAAAGAGCCAGAGAGAGCGAGGAGGTGGAAAGAGAGGGGACAGTAAACCACTGTTGTCAAATACCTTTTTACAGCCAAAAGCAAGGAGATCAGAGTCCTCTGTGATTATAGCCTGTACGATGCCCGCTTTGTTTAGATAGGCCAGCTGGGCATCCGCTTCGTACGGCGCCACGAGACAATCTACTCCCTGAGCCCGAGCCGCCTGTGGGAGAGGACCAGTCAATGTGCAGAACAGCACCTGGAAAGAACTAGACCATTTCCTGTTTCAAATCTATTTTACTAGCCTCCACATGCACAATGCTATCTGCAAAAATCACTTCCCTTGAAGAATGCTTTTTCTACTCTTAGTCCTAGCATATATTGAACCGATCATATAACCACTAAGTCTTTTAAAAATCAATTTATAAATCTGGAGAAAATAAATACTGCTATACATGGGGGGGGAGAGGGGAGAACGGACACGGACAGGCAATAACTACAAGCCATAAAATTTAATTATTTCAAATTACAGAAAGCTTCCATCTTAAGAATGGTTATGCTCCAAAACTGCATGAGATGTTTAGGTCTCTGAATATATTTTCCCCATAAAAATAACTGGTTCTCTGGTCAGACTACAAAAGTCTTATCTGACAAGATAAACTATGGACTCTAATCACTGTATATATTTTCCCACTTGTTTATCAAGCAGTTTGAACACAGGCCTGAAAAGGGGAAGGGAGGGCTGGAGTTGTGGGCACATGGAAACTAACATTCAGTGACACAAAGGACGCTTCTGCCCGGCCGGCGTAGCTCAGCGGTTGAGCATCAACCTAGGATCCAGGAGATCTAGGTTTGATTCCTGGTCAGGGCACATGCCCGGGTTTTGGGTTCAATTCCCAGTAGGGGGTGTGCAGAAGACAGCCAATCAATGACTCTCATCACTGATGTTTCTATCTCTCTCTCCCTTCCTCTTTCTGAAATTAACAAAGCCATATTTAAAAAAAGAAAGATGCTTCTAAGCAGAGCAGATTAGGTAGCGTAGCCTGGCAGTCTGCAGAGTTCCTGAGTCAGGAGGTTGGCTCAAGGTCTCTGACAGTCGTCCAGGAGTGGAGGGTCACTAAGTGTTGAAAATTCTATGCCAGTGGGGTGGGACTGACCCTCCAGCAATGTACCCCTTCCATCTCTACGGGACATGCTGATGAAGTTTATCTAAGCCACTTATTTAAAAAGGGAGAGCTCGGCTTATTCCTTAGGCTTTCTCCCTTGGAAACTGCTGAGTCCCTCTATCTGAAGATGCTGTTCCCTTCTTCCTCTGACATCAGCCTTGTCCAGGAGGTCAAGACTACAATAATCTTCCTCCCTTCATGTCCTTGCTGTCCCATTAATTAACAACTTAGAACCAGCTTCAATGAATGTCATTGTTTGTCACTTGGCATTATTTCTCATTTGGCTTACCTTAATCACTTTGTGGGCCATGGCATGTGTGATATTGATACAACGGGTGAAACATTCTCTGGCTTCTGAGATTTTCCCCTCACGAAGAAGCTGCTTTCCCTTAAGAAGGTTGGCTTGTCGTCTTCTGCAAGGGAACAAAAAAATTAAGAGGTGGAATCGAGAAACTATAATAAAACTAATTCAAGACATTTTCCTAGAATAAAAAAAGTTTGACTCATTTGAAAGTGCATACCAGGTCCTTGAGGATATTAACCCAGATCTCCTGGGCTTCTAGGCAAAAAGAAAAAGTGATTTCTGATACAAGCTCACACATCAGCTCATCAGGCTTTCCCACAGCAATGCTTTATGTCAGAAGAAAATGAATTAACTAAGACACTTAAGAAAATGTGAGTAAGGCTTCTACACCATCAAAACTACTTTCAAGTATAAAGGACGGAACTTTATCAACATACAAGAAACCTGAGGAATGCTGTTTCGGTGAGCTTCTCTGTGACATCTACTAGAGAATGAACTTCAGAAAAAACAAAATATTAGGGCTCAGTTCCACCTGGGGTTTCAGGCATCCAGTGGGGGTCTTGGGATGTATCCCCACTGAGTGAGGGGGAACGACTGTAATTATAAGATGTTCTAACTTTATCATCCCCTGGACCCTTAAAAGCAAGGAGTCTCAGTATGGAAGGAAGATACTGATGCAGTACAGAAGATAAGTAAACACCTGTACCCTGAATTTGAATTGGAAGTTATCAGTCTGAACTAATGAGGTCTTTTAAAATTAAATGCATACACATATATACACACATTCCCTGGTTCCATTTTTAGACTGGGCTGAACAGATAAAGAGACTTTATAGAAAAAGATTATTGTTTCATTGTACCACAAAAACATAAGAGATTCTAAATTCAAATGCAACCAATAAAATAGCTCCAAAATAAACAAAGCAAAAAGTGGACGATGGCCCTGGCTGGTGTGGTTTAGTTGGTTGGGCATTGTCCAGTGCACCGAAAGGTTGCTGGTTTAGTCCCTGGTCAGGGCACATGCTGGAGTTGCAGGCTATAGCCCCAGCAGGGGTGTGCAGGAGGCAGCCGATTGATGCTTCGTTCTCGCATCAATGTTTCTCTCTCTCTCTCTAAAAATCAATAAAAAAAATTTTTAAAAAATGGACAGATGGAAGGAGACCTGACTTGGAGTGGTAAACACACAATGGAATATACAGATAATGCATTATAGAACTGTACCCCTGAAACCTATGTAATTTTATTAAGCAAAGTTACCTGAATAAATTTAATTAAAAAGAGAACAACAAGGTAATTAACAAATCAACTATTACAGTGAAATTTTAACATTCTTTTCTCAGTTATTGATGGATTAGAAGACAGACACACAAAAAACAAATAAAAAAACCCAAACAGTAAAGATATGGAAGATCTGAACACTACAATCAACAAGCTTGATTTACTGGACAGGAAAATCATCCACTCAGTAATTAGAGAATGCACATTCCTCTCTAGCACACGTAGAAAATTTAAGGAAATTTGCTCATGTACTAGGCTATAAAATAAGCCTCAATAAATTTAAAAACACACACACACAAACAACTAGTATACAAACCATATCATCAAACCTCTACGCAATTAAGTCAGAGATGAAATAGATTCAACTTACTCTCTTCTAGACTTCTCCACTTCCTTTTTAGAAGGTAAAGTACATCCATCAAACACAAGAATAGGCTTGATCCCATGAGACAGTAACATATTTACAAATTTCATACAAAATCCTACATACCTATGAAAATAAAGAAAACACATTTAAGTGTTTTGCATCTTACAAGGTAATACTTTTGCTCTTTTTAAAACCAGATGAAATGAATTATGGAGAGGTTTTTATTTATTTATTTTTTTAAATGTTTTCATAGGAAATGGAAACCAATCTAGACTTGGGTTCAAATCCTGCCTTGTATCCTCATAAGCTATAAGTCATTCAATGAGTTATTTTACCCTCCAAGCCTTGCTCTCTTCATCTGTAAATTAAAAGGCTTTGATATCTCTTCTAGTTCTAACAATTTATGGTTGCAAATCTTGCCTTTCCCCCCATTTTTTTGGGGGGGGGCTTGGAAAATTTTCAAATCTATTAAAAAGCAAGAGGACAGTAAAATAAATATCTAATTCCTCCAACTATACCATTATCACACCCAAGAAAATTAACAGTCCATATTAAAATTTGTCCAACCGTCCCAATGTTTCGTGTAACTTATGGTGTCCTGGTAAATGTTCAACAACTAGTTTTGGCATAAGGAGTGCCTGATTTTAGTATGTCAATTTCCCTGACATGAATATTTTACAACGATGGACAAGATACCAATGTGGGGTCATTGAACTGGGAGAAGACAGGGTATAAAGCAAACTCATATTAATTGACTCCAACACGGCACTGCTACCATTGTTTCCCCCAGACCAGGATTCAAACAAGGACCAAGTATTACGTTTAGTTTTCTATTCTGGCAAGGCAATTGACAAAAATAGCTGCATTACAACTCCCATCATTTCATTAATTCCTTCTAAGAAACAAACAAGATTAACACATTTTACCTACTGTCTATTGTGCTTAAGTCAGTCATATTCCTTCAGAAGATAAATTACATATTGCAAAAAAGGAAATACATAATTAGTGCCCAAATCCCTGCGGAAAATCTGTCTGGAAACTGTGCTTGTTTTTCTAATGTTCCTATTTAAAAAATAAAGAGGACAATAGTCCTGCCTCAAATGAGGTCACAGTTATAACTGGATGTCAGCATGGCCCACCAGCTTTGGCCCCAAGTGAACTAAAAGACAGTCAAAATACCTTGCCCCTTTGAGGCAAATGCCTTGCTTTGGTAACAGGGCTCAGCAAAGGAAACTAGAAGCCTGAAATCACTATGGATTTTCAGTATATTGTTAAAAAGTTTATCTTAGAGAAGAAAGGAGACGATCTTTGGTTTTTGTCCATCAGTGTGCTGATAGTCCTGCTTATTCCAAATAAAAACTAGGCCTATATCACAGAAGGACGTCATTCCTGATTTGGCAACCTTCTAAAACACACACCCTCACTTCCTGATAAAATGGCTTGAAAATGATCCTTTTCTGAAAAGAAGGCACTATAGTCTCGCTCTTAATGTCAACGAGTTAACATGAGGCCCAAACTTACTTGTCGGTGGGTTCACCTTTGGCCAGCTTTTCTGCACAAGCAATCGCGCCTTTGTGAAGCCAGCAATAGGTGTCCACAGCTACTACTTGCCCTTTGTACTTCCTCACGTGGATGGGTTCAGACGCTTCCTTGATAAATTGCAGTAATCCTTGTATCCCCATCGTGCCAACGTAACTACATTATGTGAAAGAAGAAAGGGAGGACAGCGATATTTAAAGCAAATATATATTCACCCAAAAGTTTCAGAAGAAAATTTTTACAAAACTGATAAAGACCTGTTCAGATGTTGGAGAATCAATGTTCTCAAATACTTTTACTGGGCTGCGACCTGTCAAACAATTTCCATAGTCTAGAATTTTTATACTAAACCCTAATGCTATCTCCAGTGCCACTTGACAGTCTCTTAACGCTTATTCTTTCCAAAGTGCTTTCCCACTTGGAATCATGTGTGCTCCAAGCCTTAAACACAGTACCAGACACATGGAGGTGCTAAAAAAAAAGTAGGAGTCTCTCTTTACCAAAAAGGCATTGCTAAAATCTACAAAACTGTTCTTGCTATGGCATCACAGTCCCTCTACACAGGCATTATAAGCGCCAATGTGCCAATTAGCACAGGAGTTCAAAATGGTTTGTAGGAAGGTAGGCATTTCTACTGAAAAATACAATAAATGCTTCAGGACAAATG